TCTTTTTTATTATTTCCCCCCAAATACTATGGTTAAGTCTTTGATTTTTTTTTAATGTTTTCAAGTAACTGGCTTTAAAATATTGAGGAGAGGGGCTGGGAAGGTGGCTCAGTGGTAGAGCACTTGCCTTGCATGCATGAGGCCCTGGGTTCGATTCCTTAGCACCACATAAGCAAAAAGAAAAAAGCCAGAAGTGGCGCTGTGGCTCAAGTGGTAGAGTGCTAGCCTTGAGCTGAAGAGCTGAGGGACAGCGTCCAGGCCCAGAGTTCAGGCCCAATGACCGGACCCAAAAAAAATAAAAATAAAATAAAATATTGAGGAGAAAGATGGCATGCATCACTCTCTAGGGTCATGGGAAGGTAAGTTTAAGTAATTGAAGTGTTATCACATACCAAAAAAAGTTATATAATTATATTAGCTATTATAATTTCTAATCCTTTGTTTTCTTAAAATGTGACCACTTAAATAACATGAAAAAATTATTAGTGCTATTGCCAGTTGTTAAAGCTTACTGATAGGACATTTATAGCACAAGCCATGCATTGCTGGCTTACACGTATTATTGTAGCTATTCAGGAGGCTGAGATGTGAGGATAGCAGTTCAAAGCCAGCCCAGGCAGAAAACTCTATAAGATTCTTTATGTCTAATTAACTAGCAAAAAAGCAGTAAGTGAAAGTGTGTCTCAAGTAGTAGGGTGCTAACCTTGAGCAAAAGAGCCAACTGAGAGCCTAAAGCCTTGAGTTCAAGACCCAATATCAGCCCCAAGATAAAATAACTACACATCACACACAAGCCAATAGTGAAAACTGCTTATGTTTACGTAGTTCTTAATTCTGTTACTGCCCACTCTGATTAGTTTTCATCATCTTGTACTTGAACCATAGTAGTTTTTCTGGACTTCTTCTTTCCAATCCATACTGCAGATTGAATTTAGCTCCCAAACACGGATTCCATTTTTATTTTCTTATGCTCCCAAACTACACTTACACTTACTATCCTTCCTGCTCAGTCAAGCTAGGATACCTCCATATGACTTCTCCTGTGACATGGCCTTGCTACTTTTGTTTTTTTTTTTTTAGTCATGGGGCTAGAACTCTGGGTCTGGGTGCTGTCCCTGCTCTCTTCAGCTCTAGGCTAGTGCTCTACCACTTGAGCTACAGTACCACTTCCAGTTTTTTGTTTTTGTTTGTTTGTGTGTTGAGTGGAGATAAGAGTCTCATGGACTTTCCTGCCTGAGCTGACTTTGAACCACGATTCTCAGATCTCAGCCTCCTGAGTAGCTAGGATTACCAGCATGAGCCACCAGGGCTTGTCCCTTGCTACCTTTCTGGACTCATTTTCTGCCACATTCCCTCTCAGTCAGACACATCTGCTGTCTCACTAGCTATCTAAGAACAAACCTTTCTTTTTTTTTTTTAATTGTGAAAATACTGTACAGAGGGGTTACAATTATATGGGCAAGATAATGAGTACATTTCTTTTTTATTTTTTTTTTTGGGGGGGGTCCGGTCGTGGGGCCTGAACTCTGGGCCTGGGCGCTGTCCCTCAGCTCTTCAGCTCAAGGCTAGCGCTCTACCACTTGAGCCATAGTGCCACTTCCGGCTTTTTTCTTTTTGCTTATGTGGTGCTGGGGAATCGAACCCAGGGCCTCAGGCATGCAAGGCAAGCGCTCTACCACTGAGCCACCTTCCCAGCCCTAATGAATACATTTCTTATCAAGCATTGTAGCCTCCTCCTTTGTTTCCCCTTCCCATCCCTTCCCATCCTCCCCTCCCACCCCCCCAATCCTCCCTGCTGCCACAAACTGTCTTTTAATTACTGATGCTAGAATGTTTTTTCACAGACATCCACAAAATTCAGTCTTTCACCTCTGCAGACCTTCATTCAAAATCTTGCCTTATTGGCAAGGCTATTTCTGACATGTGGTCAAATAGCCTACTCTCCCTGATGACTCTTATTTTCTGTGTTTTCATCACTTAGAGCCTCAGAATAAGCATTCAGCAAAATAATAATAGTAATATATTTTTTCTTTGCAGTTCTAGGGATCAAATCTAGTGTGTAAGTTTCTTGTCACTCTCCCAACATACTTGGCATAAATATCTTTAAAGGAGGAAAAATTTGCAGTGCAAGTGGCTCATTCCTGTACTCCTATGTCAGAAGAGACCAAGATCTGGAGGATTGAAGTTCAAAACAACTTGGTCAGAAAAGACTTTGAGATTCCATCTCTAATGAATCAGCAAAAGTCCCAGGCTGGAGTTGTAGATTAAGTGGTAGAGCACCAGCTGAGTGAGCAAGCCAAGAGATCATGTGAAACCCTCTGTTCAAAACTCTATGCTGGAAAAGAAAATAAGGGAGAAAAGATTTGTTTTGGTTCATGGTTTCAGAGGTCAGTTGGTCTCCATTGATTCTGGAGCCAATGGTGGTGAGGCAGAACATCATGGTGGTTCTCTTGTAGCAGAGGAAATATACTCACCTCATGGTGGCCAGGAAGCAGAGAGAGAGAGAGGACACTTCCTTCCCAGGGCATACCCTAAATGACTTGCTCCCTCCAACTAGACTCTTCCTCCCCAAAGTGCCACTTTGTAAGTCCATTAAGAGATAAATTCAGCTGGGCACCTGTAGCTCACACCTGTAATCCTTGCCACTCAGGAGGCTGAGATCTGAGGATCACAGTTCAAAGCTTGCCTGGGTAGGAAAGTTCATTTCTGGCAGTTTATTTCCAATAAACTGCCAGAAAACTGGAAGTGGTGCTCTGGCTCAAGTGTTGAGCACTTGCCTAGAGCTGAAAAGCTCAGGGACAGCTCTTGAAGTCGGGTTCAAGCCCCATGACCAACAACAACAAAAGATAAATTCATTGAGTGATTAAATCAGAGCCCTCAGGATTTCAGTCACTTTTCTAAACTACCATCAGTTGGGGAACAAATGTTCAACACGTGAGCCTTTGGGGAGAAACTTCACCTCTGCTTCTACTTTTTTCTGGTTAAATGGAGATAAGAGTCTGGTGGACTTTTCTGCCAGGGCTATCTTCAAACTGATTCTTAGATCTCAGCCTCATGATTAGCTAGGCTTGCTGGCGTAAGCTTTCAGTGCCCAGCAATAAAAACACATTTTAACGTTTCAAAATCAGTGCTACGATGGCAATATTAGTGCTAAAACAGATTAGCCTGATTTGAATAATATGTTGGGACAGGAGGTGACAGTTAAGTTGTGGCCTGTATGAAAAGAAAGCTAGCTGGACAAAGAGAAGGTGGGAGAGAAAAAAAAGTTCCAGAAATCACCTGTGTTCAGGACTAAGGTGGAAAGATCAAAAGCCTTTTCAACAAAGTGGCTCAAGCCTGTAATGTTAGCTACTAGAGAGTCAGAGATTGAGGGATTACGTATGGTTCCAGGCCAGCCCAGGTGGAAAAAAAGTTCACAAGACTCCCATCTTAACCAATGGCTGAGTTTAGTGGCACACGCCTGTTATCCTAGCTACAGGGAAAGCACAATGGCTCAGTGTCACACACCTGCCATCTCCAGCAACCTCAGAAAGCACAAAAAGAAGGATCATAGCTGAGGTTTATCAGGGAATAAAATGTGACCCTACCTTGAAAATAACCAATAGAAAAGGGGGCTGGAGGTGCGGATCAATTGATAGAGTATTGATCTGGCAAACATAAAACCCTGAGTTTAATTCCCAGTACTGTCAAGAAGAGAGTTCAAGGCCAGCTGGTATAACAGAGATAAGCCATCTGGAAAAGACAGTGGGAAGAGGGGAGGATTTTCTCCAGGATTAGGAACAGCACCCACAAAGAGGCCGAGGCAGGGATAAACTTGCTGTAGAGACCAGGCAGAGTGTTATCAGATGAGGGTGAAAACCCTAAGTTCAAACTCTAGTACAAAAAATCAAAACCAAAAAACCCCAACCTTTGAACTTCGGTATCTCTTTACCTTTGCTAGACGCATGTAATCAAGAGTGAAATCTTGGTTTCTTACACCTGACTCTCTTTCTCTGTTTGTAAGGATTGAACTCATGCCCTCCTTACCTTTCACCTGTCTGATTGCAGCAGGCTCACTCCTGCATCCATCCCAGTTCCAGTCTCAGTCTTCACTTGTTCCACTACAACCCACACACTATTACCATTGGAAAATTCCCAAAAATGTTCTAGCCATGTTCCTTCTCTGCCCACCTACCCAGAAGTTTGGGAGTTGAAATCTGTTGTGGCTCAAACTTGTTTAATGATACCTAATGCTTTCCTTTCTCTGTGTTATTCTTTTTGGATAACATTACTGCTGCCAGTCCTGAGGCTTGAACTCAGGGCCTGAGCACTGTCCCTGAGCTTGTTTGGCTCAATGCTAGCACTCTACCACTTGAGCCATAGCACTACTTCTGGCTTTTTCTGTTTATGTGGTACTAAGGAATTGAACCCAGGGCTACATGCATGCTTGGCAAGCACTCTACCACTGCATTCCTGGCCCTGCAGTTAGTCTTTTGAAGTAGTATGCAGCCAGATTTTTAAAAGTACTTTAAGTGCTTTATAAAATACACGATTAGGAGCTGGGAAGGTGGCTCAGTAGTAGAGTGCTTGCCTTGCATGCATGAGGCCCTGGGTTCTATTCCTCAGCACCACATAAGCAGAAAAAGCCAGAAGTGGCACTGTGGCTCAAGTAGTAGAGCACTAGCCTTGAGCTGAAGAGCTGAGGGGTAGTGCCAAGACCCAGAGTTCAGGCCCCATGACTGACAAAAAAAAAAAAAGAAAGAAAGAAAAGAAAAAAGATTATATTATAAAATATGATGAGATTTTTTTATTTTTAATGATTTTTTAAACTTTATGTATTTGACAAAACTACATGATATGATATTATAAACCAGGTATGACGGTTTGCTTGTGAAACCCACCACTGGGGAAGACTAAAGCTGAAGGATTGCAAGTTTGAGGCCACGTTAGGCTACAAGGTAAGTCTGAGGCCAGCCTTGACTACATACTGAGAACCTGTCTCCAAAAAATACTAAGAAACAGTACTTGCTTCGCAGAATATGCACTAAAATGAGACTAATGCAGAGAAAATCTGCATGGTCCTTGTGCAGGACTGACACACAAATTCTTGAAGCATTCCATTTTTTAAATGATAAAGGAAAGATTATGTTATATGCTCCCTTCAAGGCAAGCATCATTCTTGAGATGTACTTATATAAATATTGCAAACACTTTTTGTGCCCAAAGGAGTCATTTTCCCACTGCTGGGTGCCAGTGGCTCACGCCTGTAATCCTAGCTACTCAGGAGGCTGAGATCTGAGCATCATAGTTCAAAGCCAGCCCAGGCAGGAAAGGCTGTGAGACTCTTATCTCCAATAAACCACCAGAAAACTGGAAGTGGTGCTTTGGCTCAAGTGGTAGAGTGCTAGCCTTGAGCTGAAGAGCTGAGGGACAGTGCCCAGGCCCAGAGTTCAAACCCCACGACCGACAAAAAAAAAAAAAAAAAAATTCCTTTCTCAGTCTCAGAGCATACTAATCAGCTGAGTAAACAGGCAATGTCAGAGGGGGGGGAGATGATTTTTTTTAATTTAATTTGTTCTTGTGCATATGTATGTGCCAGTTCTGGTACTAGGGACTGGGTGCTGTCCCTGAGCATTTACACTCAAAGCAAGCACTTTACCCCTTGAGCTCTACTTCAGGCTTTTGGCTGGTTAACTGGAGATAAGAATCTCATAGACTTTCCTATCCAGGCTAGCTACAAATTGCATTATTCAGATCTCAAAATTCTGAGTATCTATGATTCCCGGCATGAGCCACTGATGCCTAACCTGTATTTAAATTTTAGTATTTGCTAAATGTTGAGGCTTATATGGAACTGTAGGTTTAAGATAGAAATAATGTGTCTGTGCTTTTAATTGTTATTAATTAATATAGTGTCTGAATTCCTGGCTTCTCTTTCCCATGTCACATTTCCTCTGACTTATCCTTCCTCAAAACCAGCAGGAATCATAATTTGATTCTTAAAAGCTGGTCAAAAACCCGGAGGGGTGGCTGCCAAGTCTTGAGACGGTCAATTTTGGGGACACAGAGGAACATCCAGTGGATAGTGAGGACAGAGTGTTTGTCTTAAATATGCCATGTAGTTTCCTGCTGTATGATGCATTAAACTTGATTGACCATTTCAAAAAAAAAAAAAAGCTGGTCAAAAATGCCAGGGCTGGAGTTGAGAAGGTGGCCCAGTGGTAGAGTACTTGCCTTGAATGCTTGAGGCCCTGGGTTTGATTCCTCAGTACCACATAAGCAGAAAAAGCTGGAAGTGGTCCAAGTGGTAGGGCACTAGGCTTTGAGCTGAAAAGCTGAGGGATAACACCAGCCCAGAGTTCAGGACCCGACCCAAAAAAAAAAAAAAGCGCAAAACCAGGGCTATCATAAATTAAGGTTATCCAGAACCTTAACTGTTAAGCAACCTTGGAAAACTCAGTGCAACCACTTAAAAATGTTTATTAAACCAAACAACTCAAGATTAGGTGAATGGAAAGAGAGTAGAGAAAAAAGAATGTAGATCCGAAAAAGCAGCCTCTTCAACTCAAGACCAATGAGCTCTAAGGAAACCTGCAACTCCTCCAATACAAAAATGTGCCCAGGAATCCTTAAGGTTACAAATGACTTATTTGTTCATTTTCATTAAGCATCAACTATGTGCCAATGAAAATGGGCTTAGGAGGGAAAAAAAGGAAGTTTTAGAGTATCCACTGGGGGAGACTTCAAACAATCACACATACATAATGGTACACTGGTAGTCAAGATAACTTCATTTAGTCTTAAAATATGTATATTTTTTATGGACATAGGATTTTGCTATGCAACCAAGGCTGGCCACAAATTTTTTTAAAACATTTTTTTTATTATTATCTTTAAGTAGTTGTACAAAGAAGTTCCTATTCTGGCCACAAATTTTTAAGATCCTTCTGCCTCAGTCTACCTAGTACTGGGACTGCAGGTATGCATGAACCACTTCTGGATTAAGCAACACAACTTCAATGATAAAGCAAACCATATAGTTGCTGGGGAAGTGTAGAAGAGGGCTTTACCAGGTCTGATAGGAAGACCTTGAGACTGGCTGTCCAGGCTGAGGAGTCAGCTAGGTGAAGAGCCAGTAGCCTATGGCAGAGGGGAATGGCAAGTATCAAGAAGAAGCCTAGTTCAATCCTGGGGCAGGGAATAGGGGGCTATCCAGTATAGAGAGTTACAGACTTTGTTATTGAATAATGTCTGTTTCAATCCCCAAATACCTCTTTTGTCCCTGTCACCTAGAATCCTATGCCTAACAGCAGATGTGGAAGCATTGTGCACACATCCCAGCAGTTTTCCATTAAATGCACATCAGGAAGATAAAGTTAGTCCATTAGCAAAGAACGCATTAAAAAAAAAAAAAAAAAAAGCCTGTGTCAAGCTCAGAATGGAACACACCATATTATCTAGTGCAAATTTACATTTTGTAAATCACGGATGAATTCAAGAACTGTGTATTTACATTTTCATTTAAGGGGGGGAAAAAAGCACATGGGAAGATGCGGGCACAGGTAGCACGCACCTGCAAATGTCAGCAACTCAGGATGTAGAGGCAGGAGTTTCAGGGGTTCGAGACCACCCAAAGAGGATCTAACTAGTCCCTCTCCTTACACCTCCTTCCCCACTCCCCCCACCTCAAAAAAAAAGGGGGGGCGGATAGGAGAGTAAGAGACAGACGTCAAGAGCGATTTTTTCATGTGAGAAGGCTGGGAAAGCCTCTCAAGGTGGCAGAGGGAGCTCCTCCCCACCCCCGCCCCCCCCCCTCCAGCGGGCGGGCGGGGCGCGCTCGGCCCGGGGATTGGTGGCTGGTCCTCGAGGAGGCGGAACCGAGCGCGCGCGGTCGCTGCGGGCCCGCGGACCGTCGTCAGTGAGGCACCCGCGGGCCCGGAAGGAGCTGCCGGACGAGCTGGGGCCGCGGCAGCCATCGCGCTTTTGCAGTTCGGTCTCCGAGGCTGTGGGGCCCACGCCGAGCAGGGAAACGCGTCCGCTCCTGTGGCAGGTGGGTGGCAGCCCTTCCTTCGGTGGAGGTTGGCAGGCGTCAGGCGCAGGATCTCGGGGAAAGCGCACTTTTGGGGGGGGCCGTCGGAGCCTCCAGAGGAAGACGGGGGGGGGGGGCGTCTGTTTTTCCGCCCTGGAATGAGGCGGCGCGAGGCGGGGGGTGGGGTGGGGAGGGGGGGACGTGGGAAGGGGCGGGGGGAGACGACTGGTCCTGCGGGTGCCGCGCGCGGGGCCCGAGCTGCCGCCCCCTCGGGCGCAGTGACTTCAGGAAGGGGTCGCCAGCCAGCTTCCTCCTGCCCCCGGGCCTCAGTTTCCCCCACTTGGCTGAAGCGGAGGCAGCGGCGATCGTTGACAGCTGGACGGGCTTCGATGCGGGGCTTGCTTGCGTGCAAGCTGTGTCCCCCCCCCAGTGGAGGGCCGGCCGAAGCCCCTTCCTAAATAGCCCAAGACCCAGTGGAGTGGGTAGCCCGGAGAGGGGGGGGGGGAGATCAATGATAACCCTGCTGTTGGGGGGCGGGGGGGGGGGGCGGGACACTAATGATTTATGAAGTGTTCAGGATTTCCCAGCAAGATGAAAATGTGTTTGAAAAACCAAGACATAGATTTCATCGGAAAAAGTTTTTTTTTTTTCTCTCTCTCTTTTTAATATTGGGTCCAGTGGGTAGGAAAAAAAAAAAAATCAAACCTACTGTTGTTTATATTTGCATGTTCGTACCTCAAGCTTCATGTTGCCAAGTAGTCTTACTTTGGAGAAGACTCACGGTTCAGTTAGCAGTTTTGATTGAGAGTAAAAGTCGAGCCGAAGCAAATGATAGAAGGAAAGGAGAAAATTGTGACGGGAGTGTTCAGGCCCTACTCCGGAAGCACAACAGTACATCTGTTTTTACAGACGATGAATTAAGAGAGGTTTACAATTTGTCACTTAACTAGGGGGGTCATGGTAGAGCAACGTGTGCCTTTCATTGTTCTTTTTCAGTAGATTTGTGTTTGTGGCTAGAATATTTCAAACTTTAAAATTTTTTTTTTTTTTTTTGGGTCCGGTTGTGGGGCCTGAACTCTGGGCCTGGGTGCTGTCCCTCAGCTCTTCAGTTCAAGGCTAGCGCTCTACCACTTGAGCCACAGCACCACTTCCAGCTTTTTTTTTTTTCTTTTTGCTTATATGGTGCTGAGGAATCGAACCCAGGGCCTCAGGCATGCAAAGCAAGCGCTCTACCACTGAGCCACCTTCCCAGCCCCAAACTTTAAAAATTTTTAAGATAACACCTACCCAACAGTGTGACTAGTTCCACCTACTCAGGAGGCTGGAGCTTGGGGCTGAGGGCGGGGTAAGGGAAATCAATCACTTGGGCTCAGAATTTGAGGCCAGCTTGAGCTAGTAGCAGGACCCAGACTCAAGGAGAAAACTGTTAAAATTTGGAGGTACTTCATTGGTATTTTCTGAGTTTATATAAAATAAAAGTGCCGTCTTCATTTTTAAACAGCTTAAATGCATTTTAATTGGGCACTGGTGGCTCACACCTGTAATCCTAGTTACTCAAGAGGCTGAGATCTGAGGATCAGGGTTTGAAGCCCCACAGGGCAGACAAATCCAAGAAACTCTTATCTCTAGTTCACCAGCTCAAGTAGTAAAAACCCAAGTGAGAAGCCCTGAATTCAGTCCCCAATACCATAAGAAGTGCATTTTGGACTAGTAGAGTGCTTGCCTAGTATGCATGAAGCCCTGGGTTCAATACCTCAGTACCACATAAAGAGAAAAAGCCAGAAGTGGTGCTGTGGCTCAGGTGGTAGAGTGTTAGCCTTGAGCAAAAGAAGCTCCAGGACAGTACCCAGACCCTGAATTCAAGCTCAGGACTGGCAAAAAAAAAAAAAAAAAGTGCATTTTAACCTTCTTTTGCCTTGCAATATTGTGCTTGAATAAAAATTCAAGCAGCCGGACACCGGTGGCTCATGCCTGTAATCCTAGCTACTCAGGAGGCTGAAATCTGAGGATCATGGTTCAAAGCCTGTCTGAAACTCGTATCTCCAATAAACCACTAGAAAACTGGAAGTGGCACTGTGGCTCAAGTGGTAGAGTGCTT